TCTTTCCCACTGGGTCCGGAGGATTCAGAAAACAGTATTAAAACGGGTTGGAGTTTCAGCCATATAGTATGTGAGTTGTTGTTCTCTGTATGATTCAGTCATGGGGGAGAAGGATGCTTTTTAGCTCTACCCCGCAAATCAGAAAACCTGTGCTTAATCAGGTGAAGATGGCCACCTAAATGAGCATAATATGTAAAACCATTTGCTTTAATTTCCTTTTCCTGCCACTTTCTTCTACGTTTATGTTTGCTAGTAAAATTTTAACCTAGATAAATGATGAAAAAAAAAAAGCCCAGTAATTCTGGGTCCATTAAACCATGTAACAGGTGACTTCAGAGTTCTATTGGAGCCAAGCATAAACTTTGGTGGCTTCCTTTGCTCACTGAGAGGGCCCTGCCAGGGTCTTCCTGTTCTCTGAGCAGAGCCTGTATAACCACCTCCTCATTTCCTGGACTCCAAAAGTACCCATGTAATCTGAGCAAAGTGAAGACAGGCAGATAGGGCCAAATTGGCTTGGTGTTAAGAGGTCATCTTTGGTGCTTCAGGCTCCACATGGTCCCCTGTGCCAGCCTCACACATCCCAGAACTCCACCTCGAGTCTGGTGCCAAAGCAAAGATAAACAGTCTCCATCTCCATTCAGTGGTGCTCTTGTTCAGTCTCTTCTTGGATCAAGTGCTCCTATGTCTCCCCTTTCCTTTGAGTATCTTCAATGACTTTCAAACGAGAAAACTCAGTAGGTGCTCAATAAATATTTGTTAAATGAACTTTGAAATTCTGTGAAGATCAAATATTTTAATTTCTCTTTTGATCACTTCATCCTTATCAAGCATGAAAACAATCAAAACAGCATGTGTTTGAAATATACTTTTTAAAGGGCATGCTAAATCATCTTAATTTTACCTCAAGTTGGAATACTATGCCATCAAAAAATGAGCTGCACACTTATGATAGATGGGACCCTTAGGCAGGAATGAAAGGAAATCAGGCATTGCTTCCTGCAAGTAGAAAATTTATAAACCTTTATCTACATTCTAGGTGAAAGCTATTAAGGGAAACCGTGTAAGCTGAAATGAGGCTGAGCTTCACTCATTTCAATATCGTAAAAGGGAGATCTGATCTATCACTGGGAACATGGTCTCCATATATCTTGTCTTATAGCAATCTACCACCATGCCAAAGTACCAAATAGCAAAGGAATTTGAGATTTTTAATATTTTACCAGAGGAATTTGAGGCTCTTAATATGTTACTGATATTTTAGTAAAAGACTCAGAAGAAGTACTGTAAAATTCAATTAATTTACATTTTGCCACTTAAAATTTTTCATTTAAATTTAGATGCCTTTTGATTTCACATAAGAATTTTAAAAAATATGTTTTCAGGAAGGAAGTGTTCATTTGTTTGCTGCCTAGAGAAAAAGCAAAGATAATGGTACAGGAAAGAACACACTGATCGTCTTGGAATTAAGGTCTTCAACATCTTCTCTCTGTCTCTTCATCATGGCAAGGACTAGAAGGGCCAGTTCCTAGAAACTCCATCTAGTGGCGTCATATTAAAAAAAAAAAAAAAAAAAAAAGTCTGCCTGCTTGGCTTCTGGAGCTGGGAGGCACAAGGCTTCAAGTGTCTGGTGAAAAATAATGAAGTCTTTTGTCTTGTCTGAGTGAGGAAATTCTCCATTATGCAGGCATATGTAATCCCTTTATCCCTGCTCCCTGGAGGAGAATTAGAGTGAGGCATTTTCCTTTTCCCAGTTGGGGTTAATGTTATGCCCTCTCTACCTTTGAAAGTAAAACAAGACTAGGACCCCTGATGATGATTCAAATGTGGGAATATTCTTCAGCAAACACACATTCCCAGTTGCAAAAATATTACCCCTGGTTTCTTGCCAAGCCTTTGAAAAAAAACATATGAAAGATTGATTCTTTTTTCTTCTTCTTCTTTGCATTGCCTTTGTGCTGTGGAATTTCAATTGCCCCTTACATGACAGCCATATATATATATGTATATATATGATCTTTTATGGAGGCCGGGGGAAGAGAACCGCATCTTAAGAAATTGTCTCTATTTTTCTTGAAATTTCTCCATCTAAAATATTTTTAAACTGGCCCAAAGATTATGGTTATATGAGAGATCTTTGGAGCTTTATTAGCCTTTAAACACCACTAGTTGTTTATGGAAACAGTAGCAGGGGGTCCTCGGTTTCTTTCTTCGCTTTCTACATGTCTTCTTTCTTAATGTTCCAGAACAAAGGTG